AAAGGTAATCATTACTATAATAATGATTATAATCATTGAAGGTTTAACTTTAATTGTTGTCCTTTTATCCTTATTAAATTGATACTAAGTTAATTGTGACCATAACTATACTCTCATTCAACTGGTTACTATTCATGACCTAAGTTATAATCCTGAAAATTCATTATTTACCATGAAATGAAATATTCATATTTGTGTGCATAACTTTTTCTGTGTTTTTATATCAATCATTACTAATCTGATGAATTTTTAGTTACATTGTCTTTCAAACTATCCTAATGAATTACTCTCAGTGAGAAAATTAATCAAACATGATAATTATTCATGTGATGATCATTAGAATGACATGAGTTCCAATGAATTAATCAGATAAAAAGATAAAGGTGAGTGGATATGTTTGACTGAGAATTGAAAATCAGCATGAAACTATGTAAACCTTTTTGCCTGAAATCAAGATTACCTCAAATTCAAACATGATTCATGATTATTCAGATAATAAACTTTTACCATCTAATATCATTATGATTATCACCATGAATCCAAGGGAAAGATTTTGATGATAAAAAAAAGTTAAACTCTTGGAATGAAATAAAAAGTGAAAATAAAACAACGTCGACGTATAATTAATATCTAAAAGTCATATAATCACATTTAAAAGTAACACATGAAGTCTATTATTATCATTATCATGCTGTTCAATTCTTGATGAACTTTTTTTTCCATCAAAACTTTTGTTCAATATTATTATTATTATTATTATCCCTCCCTGCAATCTAGATTAATGGGTGACAATTAGCTTATTTAACAATCAAATTAATGGATTAATTTGATGGAGTCACAGAAAGAGTGTAATATATTAGTTGAAAGAAAAATAGAAGCGAATTTTTTTAACTAAAATGATTAAACTTGAGAGAAAACAACACATACAATTAAGGTCAAAGTTTGGATGTGATTCAATGAAATGATGATTAAATATTAGATGAATTTTAGCTAAAATATAATTTACTTACTCCTACTATCTTTAGCATCCTCATCACACTATTCATCTCTCTCTCTCTCTCTCTCTCTCTCTCTCTCTCTCTCTCTCTGTTCATCAAAAACTATCAAAATTAAAAGTACTACATCATTAGATTGTAATTGAGGCTGGAAAGTTTTTGTATTCTCGAAATAAAAAAGAAAAGTCAAAAAGAAACAAACAAATTCGAGGAACAGAAGCAAAACTCAAGTTCTAATGCAATTTTAAAACAGGAGAGAGTAGAACAAAAAAAATGATCTAATCATCAAGAAGAACTTTTATCTTTTTCATTCTCATCATTTTGCTGTGTTTACTTGTAATAGTTTCAGGGAAAGGTATTCAGGATTTCTCATTATCTTCCACCCACTGGCAACCCTATCTCAACACTTTGTGTCATCATCATTATCATCATGATGCATTATCATTATTTGTTATTATCTTAATTGTTTATCAAAATATTACAAACAAGGATAAGGTGAGGTTAAAGTTGGAGGTGGAGAAAATTGTAATAATAAAGTAAATAACAATGTTTACCTGAAGAAAAAGGGAAGAAAAGTTCTAACGATGTTGAAAAAAAGGAGAGAAGAAAATTTTCCTTCCAAATTATATTTCTAATATAATATTAGACAAAAAACTTACACACATTTTCCTTAGAGTGTCTGTATAACCTTAGGTCAAACTGTAGAGGTGAGGAAAAAATTACTCTCCAATAAGATTGGAAATCTCATCAGCTGAAGTTTACTTTTCTTATTTTCCAGCTTCTCTCATATTGTCCCATCCTGATGATGAGTATCAACATATTAGTTTAAAGTCTTTAATAACAATATCATCTCTTAATCATGATTTGTGAGTGAAACAATTTAAAATCAAATTACAAACAATCGTGCAAAAATGTTATTGCTAAAAAAAGAAAGGTGAGAATCTAAAGTTTACAATTGATGAAGGGATTCGATGATGACGGAGGAGGATTATGATGAAAAAGAAGATGAAGAAGACGAAGATGATGATGATTAGGATGATATGAAATCGAGAAACTGTTTATCTATCATGTATTCTGATCATCTTATCCCTCTTTCTCGATTTACTATTGTTTTCCCAATGAGAGAGAGAGAGAGAGAGAAAGTTCTGAACCGTAATCAGCTGACAGATGAAATAAAATCGGTATTTATTGTATCATCTAATGATGATGATGATAATGATGATATTATAAATGTACATTGTGATGTTAAATGATCTGGAAATGAGGTTACAATGATTCAAACCATTTACGGGTCAATATCATGAACAGAATCAGAATCATCCGATTACATTATTGCTACTGATTGTATTTTGGGATGAATTATTATCCATTACTTTTAATCACTATTAACTGAACATACTATTAATTGGACATGAAATTTATCATGTTTGGGTGTGGCTTCTGTGATGATGATATTTTTTTTCATTTTCATTGAGAAAATAAAAAATTTCAATCGGTATAAAAAAGCAGAAAAGTTCATTGAATCTCATTTATGATTCAACTCAATTTTCATTAAATAAATTTAAACCATTCCAAACAATTTATCTCATACCAATAATTTCATGTATTAATTGTTTATTAGCTGATTATTTATCCATCTGATTGAACTTTTTCTCATGACTCACCAATGAGCTAATCATCTTTTACCATGAGGATGAAAAATTATCATGGGAATCTGAGTTTCTGAATTTTACTCACTCAAGTCATTAGGCTTACAATCAGTAATCAAAAGCTCAATACTATTGTAATCATAATGATAATGGTTCTTGGTGAAACTTTGTATCATTTTTATTGTGTCTAAAATCATGATAGATGCATGGGTTAAAACTCAATGTTGGTAGTAAAAAAGTTCTGATCTATTCAGAGAAAAAAATAAACAAAATGAAACTATTACCGTTTTTTTCCCTCGAAGAAAAAGTTTAAAAGTTACTCTTACTCAGTATAATCCAATCACCAGTGGCAGAACTTAATTATTACCATGATACTTGGTAAGAAATAAACATCATCATCATGATTGATCGAACTCTGGAATTCAATTGAAATGAAATTCACTTGAATCATTATAAAAAAAAGGCGGAAGTTTAACTTGAAATAGGAAACTTTGTATTTATAAGTTTCTCAAATCAACTTGAATTCAAACAGTTAATTGTATCCAATTGATAAATTACAATCAACATGATGGTCATTTCGATATTTTTGAGGATACGGACGATAAAAGTCAAGAACTTTTTTTCGTTTGAAAAAAAAAATAAACAGTAAATCCAATCAACTATAGACAGAATGGAAATGAATATAACAATAGCATGTAATGGTAATATTTCATCCAGAAAATGATTCAACTAAGGAATGATAAAATCGTGAAAAACTTTGAGTATTATCTTGAGAGCGGAAAGTGGGTGGAAATGGGAAATAGAAGGTAGAAAAAAGGTCACATGGTCAATTAACAGAATCTTTGACTTCCTTTTCCATGATGATGATGAAGATGAAAAATAGAGGAAAATGTAAAAAGAGATTCATCTTTTTGCTTCTGTTGCTCTTTCCTTCAAATTCAATGTTGGTGTTTTTTTCTGCTGATGATGAGCCATCTCTCTCTCTCTCTCTCTCTCTCTCTCTCTCTCTCTCTCTCTCTTTTTATTTTTTTTTTCATACTGTTGCTGGTGGAAAATATTACAAAAGAAAAGAAAATAAAAGGATGAGAATTGGGAGTGATAAGGATGATGCTTCAATTCTCAAGATTCTCTCTTTAGTTTTTTTTATTCTACGAACTTTTTTTCTTAGTACCAATTGAACCGTGTGAAGGCTCATTAAGCAAATTAAATCGATTCCAGTTGAATAAACTGTTTTAAGGAGTTTGAGTTACAAGAATTTCTGATGCTCAGCATCACTTACCGCCGACAACGACATAATTTTCATCATCATTGTCATCAAACCATCATCACTTTGCATTGAGATAGTTAAAAAAACTGATAATGAACTTTAAGGCTTCAAAGTTTCTTATCAATTTTCATTACGATTGAAACAGTTTCATCATGCTCTTCATGGCTCAATTGTATCGATATGCCGACAACAAAATTGAATCATATTATTGATTAAGTTTCTTTCTCAATAAGTGCAATTGGTCAAACTGAATCAATATTGATAATGAATAAACTTGCCTCTTTCTCTCCCTTCGACTCTTGTACACCGAGTATCAGAATAGCCTCTCAAGAGACATTCAGAATCAAAATAATATTATCCAAAGAATCTTATCTTTATAATAACACTCTCGATTATTTCAAGTTGTTTCTATAAAACCATTGAACAACTTATTGAACAATATAATTAATAAGAACATGGATATCGATAAGTATTGAACGGAAAAGTTTAGAAACTTTTTATTCTCCTCTATTGGAAATCGTTGCAACGGAATTGATTAGATTTTTTTCCCATCGGTTCGATTGTTTTATAAAGTTCTGATTACTTTTTTGATTTGATTGCGGTAGAAACGCAAATATTTACAAATCTTATCATATAATAGGTTATCTGTTATAACTATTATTATTATCAGACGTAGAAATTGATTCTACCTGAGGCTATTTCGGTGCTAATAGTTTGACGAGGAAGCAAATTAAAGTTAAAGAGCCAAAAAACGACAATTCTTTCAGATTGTCTCTTTTTTATCTTATTGAATGAATTTTTTTCTAAGTAATTCATTGAATGAATTAGATAAAGATAATGATCAACGATGAATCAACCTGATAAATTACAATAAAAATCAACTGCACATGATGATAATGAAGATAAACTTGATTGTTATTACAACGATCCTCATGAATTCAGGTTTTATCCATTAAAACTGAGCTCTTTTTTTTACTTTCACAATCATTTTCCGAATTCATTGGGATAATCATGGTGAATCCTGTTTATCTCTTTTTTCACTGTCACCATGTTCATTATGCTGAATAATGATACTGATTGTGACTACAGTTCCAGCTAAAAAGTTGATTATAACTGATGAAACAAACAATCAAATGATTGATTCACTTGGAGCCTCTTATGGTGAAGGAACCAGTTTAAAATTAAAATGTATTGCCTATGGGGGTAAGTTGATTGAACTTTTTTTTCTCACTTCTCCTACGATTCCTGACAAGGTTAACCTAAATCACTATGATTCAAATATAATATCAAATTATATCTTTCAACGATAATCATTTTCCTATGATGATCAGGTTCACTATAAAGATTAAAATTTAACTTCAACCTACCCTGGAATTCATGATAAATTTAACTCATTGTAACACATTCTGGATAATTTCAACTTCTCTTTTTTTATCTGTAAACTTTTCTCATCCTTTTGGAAACTTTTGACTTTTATATTCCAGAGAATTTGAAGAAAAATGGAAAAAAATTTTCATCTTCTTTTTGTTATTATTATTATTATTGTTAAGATCTTGATCTAGATGTTGTTTTTGTTTTCTCATCTTCCCAAATTCAGTATCATGTTTACCTTCATGATCAGAATGCCTTCTTTTTGTTATTCTCATCACACATACAGCAGAAGGAAACACAAAATTGGAGTAAACAATACAGAGGGAAAAAAGTTTTGTACGAAAAATGAGTGATAACCTGAGGGTAAATTAAATTGAGACTTTTTTTCACTAATTCCAAACTTATTGACCTAAATTTACGGCGACTTTCATCACCCATCGGTGCAAATGAGAGTGGAAAGGTGATAAATAACTTACCTGTTGTTTTCTAAATGAATATTGAAAGTCTAACAATTCTTTTGATTGTGAGTATTGAAGTATTCGAGATCTGATGAATATTGGAATTTCTTTATTCATCCACTAGATTTTGATATTGGACTTTATTATGGATTCTTATTTTACTTTTTAAATTGCAAGTTATTCTGCTGATGAATGGTTACTGTATAAGTTGGGATTCTATTTGAAATTTATACAACTTTAAATCGAATTCATAACTTTGTATTTCCAATGAAATGTTGGGTATATTTGGTGATATTATGAAAGCTTTTTTGGTGAGGAAAAGACAATATTTTCATCGTGTCAGTCTTTAAGAAAGAACCAGAATAAGTGGGAGTAAATTTCTGTCATCAATCAGAATATCAGAACGGAAGAAGATGGAAGATAGTGAGAAATAGATTGTAAGTGATAAAGTGAACTGGATCATGTGGAGGGACAAGAAAGATGAGCAAGCAAAAAAAAAAGATCAAGTGAGATGAAAGATAACGAAAAGAGTGGGAACAAACTATCATCATGTTTATATACTTATCATGATGGTGAAGTATTGATCATTTCAATGAGAAAAATTAGAAGAACAGTCAAGACAGAGAGCCAAAAAAAAGTAAGAACAAGGTTTTCATGATAACCGAACCTGAGGAAATTTATAATGTTCAGTTTAAAGCTTGGTATCATTATTATCATGATCAAACAATCAACTGATAATTCTACTATTTTTTCCTCCATGAAATCAAATTTATCAACTACAATTCAATTCAAGTTGAAGAACTATCTTCAAGGTGGTACTTGCAAGTGATTGTAGACAGGAAGGGATGAGAAGCATAGTCTAAAGAAGATTTTCTTTCTGAATTATTCTGATAACTCTGTCAGATAAAATATCAGCTTGAGACTAATCTTAGCTAATACTTGGCTTGATGTATACTTGTCATAGACGAGGAGGTGGAAAGACAAAGAGTGCAGAGAGAGAGAGAGAGAGAGAGAGAGAGAGAGAGAGAGAGAGAGACGGACAAGGATGAGAATAACGGAGAAGGTAAAGATGAAGAAAATGAATTGAATGAGATAAAGAATAGAATAAAAAAAGAATCAAATGAAGAAAAATCTAAGAAATGTTATCATATATATCAAGAAGAAGCAACGAAAGAAAATATATAAAGAATGATTAAGACTTTGAATTCTAACCCACTTTGATTTCCCACTTTCTCCGTTATTTTCATTACTCAATGAAAACTACTCTCTTTATTTTTATTACCAAGAGCAACATGATGATTATGATCTTACAGAATCTTCATCAACATTATCACAACAATAAGACAACAATGATAATACAATAACATCGATATATATTAAAAAGAAAAGTTCTGTACTGAAAAATTTCAAGGATCGAAATAAAAATCATTCCCATGAGTACCGATGATAAAAAAGTAATCTTTTAACGGGTTTAATTCTAAGTCTATTATATAATATCAATTGTTTTCCTCTTGTTTCACAATGAACCCAAATAGGAGTCACAATGATGAAAATTATATCACCTCTAACAATGGAAACAACAATGATATTGATCTTGAATAGATTGTTGTTTGTTCCATGTTATTTTAAAAAGTTCGCAGGGATGAGCAAAGATGATGCTCTTGAACAGGAATCAAAATAAAATGTTTTTTTCAATATATAACTTTCCGATGGACAAGGCTTGATGGCGAATTGAATTTAATGCTCTTTCTTTGCCATTTTCCATTAAGAACTTTCCTTTCCAAGTTTTTTTCCCTCTGGCTCCTTTTCCCATTTTATCTTCTCACCTTTTTCTACTCACTCTTTTTATAACCTCGGTAACATCTTGGTTTGTATTTACTCACCTGATTTCACAATATTTAACATAATAATGATTCCAAGTGATAGTAAACACCGAGCACCATTATTCACTCGTTAGGATGTGCTCAATAGTTGTATATTTTTTCGCCCTCACAAATTCTGTAAAAAGCTCAATCTTACTCTGAATGAGGAAGAAACAATTTTCTTATAACTCATCTTAAGCTTGTTTGTTTTAGAAACAAATTTTCTGGCTATAGTAATAAATGTGTTCTATGGGCCACAATCCGTTTTTTAGATGATATGAGCTGAAACATGCCATGAATGACCTCCTAGTCAGTAAATGAGCCGCTCTGATTGTTGTCACTACTTAATCAACATTTTTGACAGTTCATTGATAGTTTATTTGTTTGATATGTAGCATAATTAAATCGACTAAGAAAAGACAGAGTTCTTTTATAATATTATCTTGATTGTAATGATTAAGAGGATGTGAGGGGGTATTATATGTAGTCAGATGATGAAGTTATAATGATAATGAGAAACAAAATACTTTGAGCTACAGACTTAGGATTATGATGGAGTGTTGTGAAGATAATGTTGATTAGATGATAATAAATGAGCTCGAGCTTGTCTGAACTTTACATCACGAAGTATAAAAAGGAATTTTTCATATTCACATTGTCCTGAACAAGAATCAGACTCATTACCATAATTAAAGAACCAAAAAACATTGCCAGATATAATAACATTAATTTTCTTATAGTTCATATCTAATTTCAATGAAACTTATGCAAATTATATATCAAATTTTTAAAAGAATGACATGCTATAGATAAGTTCAGGTGGCAATCAAAACCACTTTGACAAGGTCTCTTCCGTATTCTAACTTTCTTTCACTCTCTTTCTCTCATTTGTAACAAAAATAGTTCAATGTCACCTTAAAATTTGAATAGTTAATTTGTACTCTTTTACCGAGAGATAACCAATATGGACAATAATAGTAGTAATAAACTGCTGGCTTTGGCACATTCCATGATCCAAAACTCATCAGTTTTGTGTTTTCATTTTAGAATTAATTATACATTTTATTATTCATATAAAATTTTAGCCAAAATATTTTCTTATTCATTAAATGTTTACAAATTCCATTAGAGTCTATTAGCTAAGATTACGAATAAGAAACAAAATAACCACAAGCTGTGGAATCGTTTCCTTGACATTTCAACGATGAATGACTGTAACCATTTGGTGCATTGCGCTCTATAAATATTAGAATCAATCCTTCAGGCTCATGTCCAAATCCATGTTCCATGAATCAAAATACAGGGCGTTTTATTTATCCACTACGGCTATTACACTGAATATCTAAAGAACTAAAAGTCATATGAATGTCAGACTTGAACAGAGGACTGAACAGAATTGGAGCGCTCGATCCTACGATTTTAAAAGTCATTGAGGTCATTTAACGAAGGTAGCGTTCAAAGGTCGTTTTGAGGTCGTATGAAAGAGCGAATCAAAACACCTCAGATTTTATTTTGTAGTGTCTGTTATGAACTGATTAGAAGATAAACATGTTTCAATCTGAAAACACTTTAAGAGCCAAGTTACAAGACCGTGAGGTTAACTGATAACTGATGATGAGACATTAGAAAACTTCTGGAAACATCCAGAAGTTTTCTAATTCTAATTTTAATTTAACTTTAGTTCTTTAGATATTCAGTGTAATAGCCGTAGTGATAAATAAAACGCCCTGTATAAACACGACCATAATTATTGAAACGCACAGCTACCCAACGTGATCTTTCTCCATAATTTTCATCCAAGTTGATTACGTAGGTTTTAGGTTTTGTTGTTAGACGTGGTAAACGATCAATTGGATACACACCAACCAAACAATGCATATTTGTTTTTAACTATTTGAAGGTAGGCTTTTTAACACTAGCCGATGCAGGACGAGACAGACTACGATTTCCATCTACTGATCATGAATTTTTTGTAAAACTATTGAATTCTTTAGGATTAGATCTTATGTAATTGATTTTTTCATATACATGAACCATCTGAAAAGAGAACAAAAAAAGTTATTAAACATTGTAACATAAACGATATTCAATGTGACAGAATAATTTAAAATTGTTAACCAATTCAAATGTTACGAATTTGTTATTTAAATGCTGACATAAAGTTTTATTAAAATCAAACACAGTAAACAACAATAAAGATGACAAAACAATACAATTAAAAGAAAGAACATGAAATTGAAAAATGTGAAAGGGAAATAGAATGAGTTGAGCCATGAGAGTGAGTCCGTATTCTAATTTAATCTTGCCAAGTCGCGTACGTTTTTTGCAGCCAAGAAACCAATTTGAGCATATCTGCTTTCAACAGTTCTCCTCATACGCAGACACCTGATGTTTTCCATCGATAAGCCAATATTTTCGTATTTTGCCTGTTCTTATCCCAGCATATGATGATGAGGTGAAAAATACTAGATTATCAGAGATACCAAATTGATTTTCAATGCTGTAGTCAGTAGTGGGTCTTTTATTCTTATTTCTAGTAAGCTTGAATAGATCCATCTCCATAACAGCATTAGACCCGCTTTTTCCTTTTATTGTCGTTAATATTTGAGCCATACGACTCAACGCTGCATTCTGATGCGGTTTCATCTTCATGCATTCCTGAATTTATCTTGCGTTTTGTTTCTCTTTCTTTTATAATTTTCGGCAAATCGATGACAATTTCTACTTCATCTTGTACATTCGATTTTTTCTTGGTAACTCTTTTCACAGTTTTTTGCTTGGGAGATATGGATGTGATAATGATTGCGTCCTTTTTAATAAATAAGATAATGTGGAATTAAAAATTCACAGCAAATAAATTTTTATGTTCAAATGTAAAGACGTGGAAAGTCAAAAACTAAAACATAACAAAAAATTAAACGAAAAGGGAAAATGAACCATATTAGATTTCTGCGATTAGTTTTTTGGATTATTATCAAGATTAACAACAACTGTTCCTCCTAATATTCTTTCTTTTTTGAATGATTTCTTAAATCTGCAGGAATCTGAGGTAGACCAGACTATTCGTCTTTCGCTTAATCTGTTAAATCTAACGGTTCCATGTCCATTTCGAGCATAGTAAATAGTTTGAAGAGATGATCAAAATCAATTCTGGTGGCTACCAGTTTAACCATCAATTTGATTTGTTCTAATTCGTACCTGTATGGATTTTCTTAGCCTTCAAATTCGCTTTGCGAATGGTAATTGTCCACAGTTTTCTAATCAACCATTTTCTTTAATGATGAAATCAGGTTAAAGACTTGCATTTACATAAAGTTTTAAATGTTAATCAGAAATTCAGAAAATCATCATCAGGTAGGTTATGATTCAATGTGAGCATCTCATCAATTTCAAGTTTTTTGAAAATAATTCTTTTATTATCTTTCAATGCAATTAATAATAGGAATTATAAATATATTAGGCCAGGAATTTGGGCAAGTTGGATTTTCCTGGAAATTACATGGTGATTTGTTGGTGAGACACCCATTTGCAGTAAACTGATGAATGAAAGAATAGAAGAGAAAGAGATTATTACACGAATTATTGCAGATGTTCCACACGTGAGTTCGCTTACGCTTACGCTAAAACACTGATTTAAAGCACTTTATTCATTTTAATTAGGAGAGAAGGGGAAATTTATCCCAGCTGAACTATTCTATTTGTTACATTGTATATTTATACTCATCTTCATCTTCATCTTCATCTTCATCTTTATCTTCATCTTCATCTTTATCTTCATCTTCATCTCCATCTTCATCTTTATTTTTAACTTTGTTTACAACTCTTTACCAGAGACGAGTTGTTGCTATGTCATTTATTTGCCAACAATGCTTATCATGTAATGACCTCAGTTGCCTTGAAACTTTTCATACAAAGTCCCACATTTCCGATATGTATCTGAATGAGGTGATGATGGTACCAAGTTTTATCTTTTTAAACTAATTGATCATCGACATCGTCTTAAAAATCTTCGTAAAATGAAGTTGAATAGCCCTGTATTAGTAGTATTTAGAATTTTGATGAGTTGACACATACAGGGCTATTCAGCTATTTTTACCGATTTTTGTGTCATTTTCTCAGCAACTAAGAGTCAGAGAGACTTGAGAAGTATGAATTTGCGCGATACTTAATTGTTATATCAAAAGATCAAGGTCATTCAGGCCATCGGTAAAATAACACGTTTAAAGGTCATCTGAAGGTAATTCAACAAGTAGTAGTATACAGAGATACTACTTACAAGTTTTTAGGTTTCTATTAGCTTTGCTATGCTCGTTAAGGTAAATTCATTGAATAAAAGATTTTCAACAGTTGTTCAATTAAACTGTAAGAGAAAGAGAAAAACAAAATCAATGCTAGCAGGTGATGAAATGATTGAAATAAATGAATCAAATTGTTTCTTAGATCATCACCAAAAGATGGTCATCATTTGCTTCAGAGGTGTAAACGCACAACGGCAGTTAACAAAGTAACGTGGACAATAAATCCCAGCAAATGATTTAATACCAGTCTCGCTATGAACAGTTACAGGTACTTGATAACAAGACCAGTAAATTTAAAATGAGTGTACTTTTATACTTATAAAACCGAACTAAATTTCGCTATTCGTCATAAATGAGCACAATATTTCAGATCACAAAATCATAGCCAACTTACAGATTAGATTACAGTGTCCCATTAGTAGTTAGTTCAAGTTGCTTAATAATATTGTGTATTATTTATCATTCTGTATTTATAACTTGTGATTTGAGTTAGAGTTCATATCACTAAGTTAATCTGAATTCTGCAATCATTGACAGTGAGCACTCCATTCGACTTCGATTAAATGAACTTGCCAGTTTTTATCGTGAGAGTATAAAAATTGAAAAGAATATTACTCCAGTTCGGGTACGTTTGAAAATGACATCATTAATGCAACTTAAAATAAAGTTAGAATCTGATGAATAAAATTGTTCATGATTAGTGGTTGTTTCAAATCATTTATCATGAAAATGAGTCAGTAGGAAGTGTATTTGTGACCATGTTATAAATGATGCGAAGGGTACTGGACAATAATATTTATTGTAACATCAATGGGCAGTAGTCCAATGGTCAATGATGATTAATTATGTACGCTTTGTAAAATGATTTGTATTGATATTGTTTCTTCTTTTACATTATGATTGCTATTATCATGATGACCATCGCCCATCAAACCGTTAATGATATGGTTATAAATGTTTAGCAAACACTGAACTCGATGGTATTGTTTTAATGGATTAATCTGATATTGATGAATGATAATCGTGATAATAATTACACAGTAATCAGCTTTTTTTCCAATGGTGATTGACCAAAAATAATGTTACATTTGTACTACTTGTAAACAAAGTATTAAATGATCATGATGATTATCATAATAAATGTTAATCATTTTGCCTTTTCATTTATCGCTACAATAAACAAATTATTACTATCAAATCATTTTTGTTACTCCAATCGAAACAGAATCATTGTTGAATTGTAATGATTAGTGTGTAATAATCATAAGGTAATGGTATTGAATTGACTTTTCCATGATGAAAAAGAGTTTGATTAATATGACTTTAGCAAAATTGATGTTTTTATTGATATGGAGAAAGTTCATCAAATTGATGATTGAATTTATTTATCACATGAGAACATGAAATTCATTTTCAATTTTGATTAGTCTCCTAGCCCTTATCTTATACATCTAATTGTCTATCAATTCTTATCACTAGATAATTTTGCAATTTCATATTATCCAAGGTTCTAGACGAATCGCTTCATTGCAAATGTTTAATTTTCATGAACATGATCATATTGCAATTCAGAGGAAATCATATGAAAGGATTCACTTGACTGGTAACATTGACATTGAACTGCATCCGTTGAATATAGTGTACCATGTTTCTAATGCTAATTTAACAATAGAAAAGTTGTATTCTTGAATCTCAGATAGTAATAGAAAGATTGAAACCAGAAGAAAGTTTTTAGTTAGATATTTTCTGAATCTGAGCATTCATTGAATTCGTATCATTATCTGGATATCATTACCCATACAATTTGGGAACAATCTAGTTTTTTAAAGTTTGATAATAAGTATAATTAGTTGGTGAAATTATATTGAATAATAATTGCAACAGATTCAAAGTTGAAGTTAATCTACTTTATTATCTGGATGTTAATGAGCTGCTGATAATTTTTGAAACACTGGCTAATAAATGTACAAACTAATAATGTACTGACTAGATATAGATGAGAATAGAAGAAAGTTCCAAATCAGAGAAAATATCACCAAAAATCAATCTCCACTGTTTCCATTCATAATCACCATGAATATTATCTGTTTCATCCTGAGATTCACTTACTTTGTCTATCTAATATTATGAACTTTGAAATATCATGGAAACAAATATAACATTAACCAGAAACAATTTTGTATATTTATATGTATAAACCAATGATAATGATGATACTAATATTCAAGGGATATTAGCAGTTTCCTAAGTTAATCATATTACATTATCATCAAATTCAGCAGCATTTCCATGGTAGAGATGGAAAAGGAAAATGGTAATAGTTGAAATAGTACAAAATGTTAGATATCAAAAGATATTATCTGAATAAACATTCACAACTTTTCCACCAATAATTTCGAAAAACTTTTCTACACTTGAAACATTCTCTCCAGTTGAAATCACCCTGAATATCGTTATCACTTCCAAATTATTAGCCATCTCAATCTCTCACCGAAGTCTGTTTATTATCATGAATGTCCATTCTAAAGCTATGGAAGGTGTTACACATTCAAAATGTTTAAATAAAAAAAAAGTTCTAACAGAAAATAAATGATTCTTGACCTTTTTCCTTTATCACTAACATTATCCTTTTCCTACTGATAAGTATCATCATTAATCTTTTATCATATTAATATTTACATATTTTAGGCAAACCAGCTCCTTCTGTCCACTGGTATCTAGATGAAAATTTACTGGACGATACATTTACTTCAAAAATAACGGAAGATGGCCTAATCTCAATCAATGAGCTGACCATTCTAAAACTGGGACGATCTCATACAAATAAACTTTTATCTTGTAAATCTTTCAATACTAATTTAACTCAATCAATTAACAATTCGCTAACTTTAGATATTAATTGTAAGTATTTGTAATCAAACCTTTAATTATCTCAAGATAATGTAAGCTTATCTCAATTTTGATCGTATTTCTTTTCATTCTGCTTTTAATTGCTGCTCACAATTAAATAGTATATCCTTTATACGTAAAAATCATATCAATTAAACGACCATTATCATCAAGTAAATCAACAGAGCTTCAATGTGATTCAAAGGGATCACGTCCTGGAGCCAAGATTACCTGGTATCTAAATAATAAACTGGTCACTTCATCAAGGTAAGATTATCATTAGATTGTGACAATTAAATTGATACAAAAAAAGATTAACTTTGATTATCTTGGAGACAATTAACTTTAATCTTTTACCATTAGATTGTATATTATACTGTCTAATAAAAGGAGATACTCTTATCATTAATCACATTCCAAAACAATTTACTAATCATTTAACCTAATCAATTAGCTTTTATATTAATAACACTGTTTCAAAATTGAGATAATATATCAACAACAATTTAAGACTTGTGAATGTGGATAATCAAAGTTAATTAACATTGTAACAAACAATTGTTAGATTGGTCATCGTCAACGAAACAATTAACTTAGTCTTAGGATTTTCACAATCATTTAGTAAATCAATTAACAATTAAAGCCATGAAAATGGTTAATAAAAACAGTAAGGGAGTTAATTGGTTAAGGTTTGAATGATTTACCAGTGAGGAAAAATTAAAGTATCAAGTTAATTTATATAAAGTTAATTGTAAGTGAACATTATAAATGAAAAGGTTACAAAGTTGAAAAGAGAAAAAAGTTAATTAGATATGATAATATTTGTATATCAAATTTATTTTCGTTCAATTATTTTTCCATTTCCAATTTCAGAGAGATGAATTCGGAAACCAATGGATCAATTAGTAGCTCAAGTATATTAAAACTGGTGCCTTCCCCATCCGATAATGGAGCCTTGTTATCATGTAAAGCTGAAAATCCTCGCCTTTTAAATAGTTCAATTAAAGATGATTGGATTCTCAATATATACTGTAAGTGTTATTATTATCCTGATAAATTGATTCTATTTCCAAGTGATTATCTTTCAGTTTTGTGGTTGAAAACTTGTCAACTATCAATTGGAATGAAAAAGAAAGACTCAATTGTTAACAATCAAATCTGTAAAGTATCAAGAATTGTTTCAATTTCGGAATAAGATTTTAAAAAGTTTTTTTTCTCAAGTTGATTCTCTTTTTCAACAATTATACTCTTCTTTTTTTAACTTTGACCCAATTTCACCTAAATCAGATATTTAGTCTCTGATTATGATGAAAATGAACAAAATATCTTCGTCTTACCATTTGACAGCTAAACAATTTGAAAGAACTACAAGTCAATACATAATTCGAATTCATTTGATAAGACAAAATTCTCAATTACAAAGGTTAATTGTCGTTCTTCTCTTCAAAATCATTAAAATCTTCTCTTTCTCTCCCTTGTTCTTTTATTAGATAAGCCTAATGTTAAACTTGTCTCAAGATTAATAAATCATCAAAGTGAGATTAAAGAGAATGACGAAATTATCTTTGAATGTATTATCGACTCTAATCCAGGGATTAAAGAGATTGGGTGGACATTCAATGAAGTACCTCTTAAAGTTGATGAAAGTAAAGGTAAAGTTTTTTTCTCGTATTATTGAAATCTAACTGCTAATCAACTTTGACCATTGAATCCTTATTTCAATCAGGAATAATCATTGATAATACAACACTCGTTATCAAAGTTGCTGATAAAAGTCACTCAGGTGATTATTCATGTTACGCTTTCAATATTGAAGGTAAAGGATCCAGTAACAGGGTAACCATAAAAGTTAATCGTAAGTGTTGATTTAGTTTATGACTCAATCTCTCTTTTTTTCACTTACCAGCACCTTCCCCTTGTACATAAGAATCGTTGTGAGTTCTATGAAAAAAAAGATGGAAAAAAATCTCAACTGATTCCTTGATCTTCCTCCGTGTTAATAATGTTATATGAATGAAGCTCTGATGTAAAAGATTGAACTGAATTGATTGCATGTTAGTTTTTTCCCCTTTTCTGTTTGTCTAAAAGCTTCGATATAAAACATTCTGTTCTCTTTTTTTTTCTTACGAATTTTTCCTTGAATTTTTGCTAAAAAATAGAAATTCATATTTTCTAGACTCCCTGTTGTTGATCATCATCATCATCATCATCATCATGAAGTATTTTCGATTCATATGAGAATCTGAAGACTACCGTTGAGAGAACAATATCCATCATGAGCAAAGAAATTCAATTTTGTTTTTCTTCAATAGTTTTTTACCTTGAGATTAATAGAAAAACGTTTTTTGTTTCGAATTTGAAAAAGAGTCAAAATAATTCACAACTATTCAAAAATCATCATCATGAATACTTAGAAACATGTTAAAAACACCAATTGAGAAACAATTCGACTGGTTAACAATGATAAGAATATAAATGTAATCGATTCCAAATCAATAGGAAGGAAGGAAAAAGTAAAAGAGAAAAAAATTATTCCATGAAATTCATTATACTCAATAATTCACTTCAACCAGAATATTCAGCTCATAAACCTGATAACAAGTTCATTCATTTCAATAGTAAATAATTTTATTGAATGATAAATTTATCAACAAGAGATTCAGAGTAATTTTCAAGAAATATTAACCATAAATATATATGATTAAGAGACTAAGATTATTGCTATTTATTTCAAATCTCAATTTCTCATGAAGCTTGAAAGCTAATTTCATTATAATCTTTATATAGACATACTTACCTATGGATTTGAATAAAATTCACCAAGGTAACATCAGAATTAATCAGTATAAAGAATCAGGATGAAATGTTAAGGTAAATTGTTTTTCATCTTTCAAAGTGAGAGATGTAAATTCTTGAGCTAACTAAGGTTACATGGTGAGGGTGTTATCATTCACTGCTGCTGGATAGATAATATTGTTTAATAATATCATCACCATGATGATATAATATGTAACTCCTTTGAGAATGCAAATTGAGATGCTGCAGATTCAATGAACCAGGAGGGAATAGTTTAACCTTCCGGTTGGCGCCAGAATTTATTTTACCTTTAGTTAAGATTGATTACCATATTGTCTTGCATCATTCATCATCAATGAAAGATGCACAAGATGATAATGATGATGATGGAAAACAAGATAAAGATGATCACAGCGATAATTTTACTTCGCTCATTTTTTTTCTCCATTCTTCCATCACCATGAAACTTCAGTTACATTCCGGCATTTGCCTTCAGATGCCTTTTTTTCTGATCCTTACCATCACCATCATCATCATTATCAGCCAACAACATTATCATGTTTATCTTCATCAAGTCAACTTCATGTTAGATTGGAGATGAAAAAACATACTTTCGGTTGTTTCATCTAATACCATAGATTACTGAGGTTGATGATGAACAAAGTTGATGATGATATTTGGTTCATTGGGATTGAATTGTTCAAATTAACATGAAATTTCACCAGGAGCATTTATCTGTTGTAAAGTAATTTAATCGTTTGAAATGTTCATTGACCTTACCATAAGTTGAATATTTTTTGAATGCCAAGGAAAAACATTGATGCCTTATTATTATCAGCATGAATATTTTGATAACAAAAATCATATTAATCTGTTACGATTATGATAATTTGATTACAAGTTTATTAATACAAATCATGCCAATCAAATTTACTCACCCAAACTCACCCAGCTTAATCCAATTGCTCTTCACCTTTATCAACTCGATTAATATTAATCATAAACTTATGATCATGATAGATTTTGTATAACCTGAGCAATTTTTTTGTGAAATCAACAAAAAAAGTTTCGAAAACAAGTACTTGTTCATAGATCTTGGGACTTGAACTTGAGCACTAACTGATAACTGTTATTAAATTATCAGACTTCCACATATTGATAGATGATGATGATGGTTTAAACCCACGATGATACCGAAAAAAAAGTTCCAATTCCGTAATAAGGGAGAGAGAGAGAGAGGAAAAAAGTTAAGGGAAACATTCAATTTTTCAGAAACATAGATATTAATATATGTGTAAGTTTGACGATGAAAATGTTTCAATTCTGGTTTTCAAACCAATTGGATAGATTTCTATTTTCTGTCCAATCAAATTTTCATTCTAATGAAATTGTTATCAGTCATCCATTATCATCTGATGGTCTATCACCCACCCACAAGTAATACCTTCTACTCATCTGATTCTCTCTCCCAGTGTAGTGACAATTTTCAAAAACTTCATCTTCTCAGTTAGTCTTAATGTTATTTGAACGATTTTATAAGTGAAAAGAAATGGAAACTGACAGAAATCTTCATGAGACGATGATGATGATCAGCATCATGGTTGAAGAGGAGAGAGATTTTTTCTCTTCATCCAAAAAAAGGATAGAAGCTCGGAAAAATCTTCTCTTAACATGAAATTCTGAATCAATAAGTTATACAGTTGCATTTGAAACTTCATGATGATCATCATCATCCCGATGCAATTTTTAGATATGTTCATCCGTCTTTACTTTTATAAAGTTATATAAAATCCATTACATTTTCATCATTTTTATCATCATTATCATCTGTTGGCCTTCATGGTAAAGCTTATTGTGACAAAATTGAAAGTGAAACTATAAAATTATGATGATTTTGTTGGAGAAAGACTAGATAATGATATAAACACAAAAATTGAAATGTATGTAGTCAATAATGGGATAGTTAATATTGTAAATTGATTAGCATACATTGACATTGTTTGAACGTTTAAAATCATACTAAAAGTGATGAGATAGTAGTTTATTCATGATCAATATGAAACGGCGAGCATATTATTATACTTACAAGTTAGTTAGTTAGGGCTTTTGTAGCACTAATATCTGGAAATGCTAGAGCCTCTATCAACTCATACATGTATTTCTTGTCGACTAACATCTAACCTATTTGGATAAAAAGGTTGGACTCTGGTTTGATTTTGATATGATTTTTCTCGAAAACGATTGATAGATTATCATAGGCCAGACTTTCACTAATAATTAGACAAGAATTATCCATATAAAGCCAGAGTCCAACTTTTTTCCGAATAGGTTACAACTTTCCGTATAAAAGATGTCTTCCCTAACCCTTTTTGTCAGATCTTCCATCTCAATGTGTTTTTACCTGGATGATGGAGGACAAGAGGTCATAGGTTTATTAACGAGTTGATTTTTTTTCTTTGACCATGCATCGGGCAACAGCACATAGATTATAGTCACGATTTATCTATCCATAGTCTTAAAATTGGAAATTTTTACCAAGTTCAATAACATTTGTGGAAGTTTACTCAAAGCATCTTCTTTGAAAGCTTAAATTTTATCAAATTTTGAAAGGGTTGTGCTATTATTAGTAATCATTTCAAGAAACACTAGTTTCTTGGTTTGCTACTGCCTGAGGTTTGAGTGATAACTCCGCGTCGTTTTGATGTAAATGATACAACTTATGATCCTTTTTTGGATGATATGCTTGATTGCTTCATATTTCATGCCAACATCTCAAAGTGATTATGGTAATTTAATCATAATCCATTAGCTAGAGTTAATGATAAGTTCATTTTCACCAGTCGGCCAAAAAAAGATATTAGTGGCAATGAATTTGGAAACTAAATAATGAAGAAAAAACTAAATGAGATAAATTATATTTCATCTTGATAATATTATCCTGATAATACATGAAGATTCTCCTCTTCCATTGTTTTTCTCACTTTGCTTATTACAATTATCAGTCGATATTATAAATAAAAGACAAGTTCGTGATTTTTTTTCTCGATTCTAGATTGAAGCCATTAACTTTATCGTCAAACAGAAACAATGTAATCATGTTTAATACCAAGAAAATATTCAAAAAGAAAAAAGTTATAAGATAAAGTAAGAATGGAAAAAATTTAGAATGCATGTTGCTAATGGAAAAGAGAAGAAAGCAAAAACTGATAAAATTCGAAATTCGCAACAATTCCACCAAGGAAAACTGATCCTCCCAATTTCATCTGCTGTAATAATTTCCCTTCTGCTCTTCATCTGAGTTCATGTTGATAATCAAAGAAGATATTGACTGAATAAGACAAAAAGCTCAATAGTCAGAGAAAAAGATTCCAAGATAATCAATGAATCACCGAGACTCATTTTGATGATGTTTATCATTCATGTAAAAACGAACAGAACATTTTTTTGTTCTTTATTCAAGAGCTGATCGAAAATACTGGATGAGGGAAAGAAAAAAAGAAAACAAAGTAACATATTCAACTAAATGGATGATGACACAGTCAATGAAATGATATCATGAAAAATGTTCATGTAAAAGTTCATGACAACAAGTTGAATCTCATGGTTTTCTCAATGATGTTGGAGAAGAAAAAAAAATTCAATCCATTCTGATAAATAATCATTGACATGATATGAACAGAAGATGATGACGAACGCCCATAACTCATATTTCACTTTAATTTTCTATCTCTTTTTATTGTTGCTTTGTTTTTATCTTCATAATCTTCATCATTTTCATCCGACATCCACTCCCTCTCCTCGGGTTATAAATAATAGTGATAATAAAAATAAGGTTATTCTAGTGTGTATTATAAGTGAAAGTACATATTCTGACCAAATAGAAATATATATAAATATTTTTCTCTTTCTTTCTTTTATCTATCCTCATCTTCATGATGATGATGATGATGATGATGATGCTATTGCGTGAGCACCATGGATATTGTCTGGAACTGTCGTTATTATAAATATTGTATATGTAATAACCTTCTCAATCTTGTCGAAGAGATTTTTAGTCTG